GGACTTAAACCCTTAGACTGCTCCAAGGGACATAAACCCTGAGACTGCTCCAAGGGACTTAAACCCTGAGACTGCTCCAAGGGACATAAACTCTGAGACTGCTCCAAGGGACTTAAACCCTGAGACTGCTCCAAGGGACTTAAACCCTGAGACTGCTCCAAGGGACATAAACCCTGAGACTGCTCCAAGGGACCTAAACCCTGAGACTGCTCCAAGGGACTTAAACCCTGAGACTGCTCCAAGGGACTTAAACCCTGAGACTTCTTCTCAAATGCAATTTAGAGAGTTTGACAGACCCCAAAAACAGACCAAAATTTAGCTAATATCCAATTATGCAGACTTTACATATTAAAAAGGTGTCTGCTTACCTTAATTCTTTGTCCGGACTGTTCAAGAGGTCAGCCAACTTCTTTTCCGCGTCGGAATATTCAATTTAAAAAGCAAAAGTGACAGAAGCGACAAGAAGCATCCAGGAACAGCTCTTCCAGCATGCTGGAATCTCCGCTCCCAGACACAGCATGCCGGTCTCTCACGCAGAGGAAAAGAAACAGAGCAAACTCCCTCAAAACAATCCAGAGAATGGCACACACTGAGCCGCACATTCTCCACCAAATCTGTCAGGGATGAATCAGACAGAGACGGATCGTGGTGTGCCAAACTCTGGAAGTTTATTTAAGTTTCTCTCAAGTTCCACTGGTTTACTCTGTTTCTTTCTCTCAGACAGAATAAAGGTAGTACACAGTTTATATAGTCATTGTCACGTCACACATCGAAAGACATACGTGTCACGAAGAGACAGTCAAATCATAGTCATAACATGGAGTCCTTGTAGAGTCCTTGTACAGTTCTGCACGTAGGCCATATTGCTATCTAATACTAACACCGATCAAGTTCGCGGACGACACCACCCTCATTGGACTCATCTCCAACAACGATGAGTCCGCCTACAGGAGGGAGGTGGACCGGCTGGTGTCCTGGTGCAGTGGTAACAACCTGGAGCTGAACGCCCAGAAGACAGTGGAGATGATTGTGGACTTCAGGAAGAGCACTGTCCCCCCACCCCCACCCTCCGTGATGGACTCCCCCATCACCTCTGTGGAGTCCTTCCGTTTCCTGGGCACCACCATCACCCAGGACCTCAAGTGGGAGCCGACCATCAGCTCCCTCATCAAGAAGGCCCAGCAGAGGATGTACTTCCTGCGGCAGCTCAGGAAAGCCAAGCTGCCTGCACAGATGTTGGTGCAGTTCTACACGGCCATCATCGAGTCCATCCTCACCTCCTCCATCACCGTGTGGTTCGCTGGAGCCACAGTCAGGGACAAACAGAGACTACAGCGCATTGTGCGCTCTGCAGAGGAAGTGATCGTCCGCAGCCTTCCATCGCTGCAGGACCTGTACGTCGCCCGAGCTCGAAGCCGGGCTGGTCGTATCACAGCCGACCCCTCTCACCCTGCACATGGACTATTCCAACCACTCCCCTCAGGCAGGAGGCTGCGGTCCATCAGGACTAGAACCTCCCGCCACAAGAACAGTTTCTTCCCCTCTGCTGTTGGACTCTTGAACACTTCTTAACCTGTCCCCCCGCCCTTTATAAAGTCACTTTACTGCCCATCATACGTCACTTTACTTCACTATACTGCTGTCACCTTACATTGTGTGCACCATGTGCACTTGTATATTGTAAATAGTAACTGTAACTCTATTTTAAATTTAAATTTATTCTTTAGAAGTGTTTTTTATTCTTATTTTTATTATCTCTTTTTGACTGTTGCACTGAGCCAAAGCAATTTCCTAGTCTGTGACCTCCTGTTACTTACGTGGCAATAAAAATGATTCTGATGATTCTGAATACGCAATCAAGGATGGTTCCACAGGTTGAACAAATAGGTTCTTTTTGTGAATCTCTGACCAAAAAGTACTAGGGCAGGTTTTTAGTTAGTGTACTGGACTATGAGGTGGACCTGTACTGTATATAAGGCGCTGCACGACTTACATTTGAAAAGAAAATCAGTGTTGTCTACATATAGGCCACACCTGAATATAAGCTGAATATACATGTTTAATGTAGCAGAGAGAGTGTTTGAGTATTTATTTATTAATTAATTTCGTTACATGTATTCTGTTCTCCAACACTGCCTAGTTGCCTCGCTTCTGTCAGCTCCAAAAGGTCCATGAGCATTTGCGCTGACATACTTGCAGTCTCACTCCAAGCCGGTGGGAGTGGACCCGGAAAGAGAATCACCCAATGCTTTTGTAGGGCGTCTTCTTTCCTCTCACAAACGGCTTCACAGGATGGTTCAAAAGTTATCCAGATGTGTGTCAATGCTGAAGGGAGCCTTTGGACCAGTCTAGTTTAGCCGCTGTGGACTTCAGAATGCACTTGTTAAATGAATGGGGCTCATGCCGGCTAACACATGCGCAAATGTGTTTTTTCACATTTTCCTGCCCCACAACCATTTTGAAAAAGCCCACAGAAGGAAAAAGTGGTGTCATCTTTATATCCCTTTAACACAACAAATCCCAGAAACTCCGAGCACTCCCAGAGCAGTCATTTTGATGGATCCCATTCAAGTCAACACAGTTCTTAAAACATCTTCAAAAATTGTTTTTGTTTTTTGTTACTTTTACTTAAATTAAGCAGTTTTGATGCTTTTTTTTAACCTTCAATAAGTGATAAAACTGTTTACTACTGAAAATACAGTAACTTGCTATACAGAAAAAGGAGTATTGAACTGCTGCCCCCACATTGACTGTATAAAAAGTTCAAGTGCCTTGCTGGGGCCCTAAGCAGAAGTCAGCATAGGGGCCCTACACCTAATTCAAGAAACCATAAGAATTAAAGCAAGCAGAAGTTTCATGACACTTAAACAAATACATAATTCATGTAATCAAGCAATATAAGACAACAGCCGAAAAACAAAAACATGTTTAACATGTATACTATTTATTAAATGATTCAACACAAGATAAAATAACATTTGAAATTTTCACAAGAAGAGTCACGATAAAAATAATGATAAGATAGACTTTATTGATCTCACACAGGAGAAATTTACATGGATCACTCAGATTTATGCAAAAGACAGAAGTGTGCAACATGTTAAAATAGAAATAAATAGTGCAGTATTAAACTTACCAGCACAATACAGAACACACAATGTGCAAAATGTACTCAAAATGTACATTGCAAGACCACTTAACCGCTCCTGACCCATTGAAAATCTCAAGTATGTAAGACCAGGGAGAAACCAATTAAATAAACAAAAGTGAAATAAGTCAATTGTTTTTTTTTTTTTAAATTAAATGATACAAAGACATACAAAAGTGACACAAAGACATACAAAAGTGGTACCATGACATACCAAAGACCAAAAACATTGAACCAGCGACAAAAACATGGGGACATACAAAGACATACAAATATTAAGACAGCATGAAACATTACCATATGGGAGGTAGGGGTGTGTGCGTGTGTGCGTGCGTACGTGTGTGTGTGTGTGTGTGTGCGTGCGCGTTAGAGAGAAAGAAAAAAACAAAAAACATTCAATTGTCTAGATCATCAACACCCACCTTATTTAATCTGATTTTAATTTATGTTTTATGAGTTAAGAGATACTCCAGCCGCCGCCTTCTTTGCCTGTTATCTGCTGTCTATGATTGTGTGTGTGTGAGTGTCTAAGATGCATTAAAAAGCCCCTGATGGGAGTCTTCTCCTCATGTGTCCTGAATCCCTTGCCATGTGTGTATATGTTTATGTATTTTCCCTTTTCAAATTTCTATTTATTTAGAGTGTGGTGCATTAAAAAACACAAAGGATGACGGTGGCTGGGATCAGGGCTATGGTGAAATGAGTTGATGGCCGGTGTTGGTGGTGATGACAGTGAGAAAAGGTTTATTTATTTATTTTATTTTATTTTTTTTAAATTTATATATATATTAGTGATGATGATAATGGTGATGATGTAGATGACAACGGCAGCAATGTTCAGGTGTATGTGGGTGTTCTGTTGGTCAAAGCGAGAGTGAGAGAAGGGACCTTGAGGGAGTTGGGCAAAGAAACAGTTTATTGAAAAAATATATATAATACAAAAATAATACAAAATAAATACAAAAAATAAGTCAATCTTGTTGTAAGACTCAGATTGTACTCAAACTTAGATAAAAACCACTCTATTGAAGCATTATTACCTCACATTCCAACATATTTTTCAGCTCTAAACAGATTCTGGATCTGAACAGACTTGGAACCAGAATCAGTCTGTAAAGCTTTCTTACATTGATCGGTTCGTGCTCACACATAAAGACCCCATACAAAACTACTCTGACGTTTATTACAAGAAACACAAGTCTGTTTCCGCAGTCTCTAATATATATATATCTCTAATATCTCTTTGATATGAGACCTTTCCTTTAGAGCTGCCTGGAAGTGGAGCGGAAACAGAACACACCTTTACAAATCTCATACAAATGTAGTAAAGTGATAAAGTTTGATATGTCATGTCATGGCATTGTCTTCCCCTTATTAATCAATTTCTGGGTCGGCAATCAGAGCACCAGAGTCTCATACACCAGTCCCTTGCTGATCCTCCTGCAGGAGGTGGGTCCACAGGATGATGGCTTCTCCATCATTGACGAGATGACCTTGGTCTTTCAGCGGGGGCTTCAGGCAATGTGGGGTTAAGTGTCTTGCCCAGGGACACAACGACAGCAGACATCAGTGGGAGCAGATGACATGGGTCGTGGTGGGCTCGAACCCACAACCATTAGGTCTAAAGACCAGTGCTCTACCAACTAGAGCACTGGTACTAAGTTACTATGGTTACTATGGAAACGCTTTCTGTTAGTAATCTTGTTGCTATGATACTTGGTTACCATGGCGCTGATGTCAAAGCTAATGACATCACCACAATCTTAAGGTATTGTGGGGTGCTTGTGCCTGCGGACCATTGCTTTGCAAAAAACACAACACAGGACGACTCATAAATTACTCCAGCTTCAAAATGGAGACCAGGAGAAAAGTGAGAAGGATCATAAAACAGGAGAATGAGGACTCTCGACTCGCTGAGAACATAATACGTGAGCATGTAGAGAAGCAGAGGCTGCGATTGCAGCAGGAGGAACTGGCTCAGAGAGAATCTGAGGCCAGAGACGAGTTAAGCACTGAGGTGAAGCGTGAACTCAAGCAGAAGAGAGAGCAGCAACTTCTGCAGATCCATCTGGTGCAAGAACAGATGAAGACAGGCCACCAATGTGGGCAGGAGTCAGAGCGCAGGAAGGCCCAGCGAAGGTGGCGGCGTACGGAAAAGTGTTCACAGAACAATAAACGCCTTCTGGAGGAACGGCATAAAAGTCAGGAGCAGGAGGAGAGAGAGACCCAGAAGAAGACAGAACAGGAAGAGTACGAGGAGCAAGTGGAGATGGCCATCCATAGAGCTTCCATGGAAGACCGTATCGCTCTTCCTCTGGGCCAAAGAAACGGTGAAGTCGATAACCGTCTTCACTTCTATAAGGACGGACAAGGCTTCATCGTAAGCTCCAAGAGGAAGTTTGAGACTCGTCAGTCTTTAATTTTGACCGACGAGGCGCCCAAAAAACAGGTGACACTACCTCAAAGCAACACCACTCCAAAACCAAAGAGTGTGAAACAAGTAAGAGTACAGGAGCAGAAACAGCCATCCCCCAGTGTTTGCCGAGGGTTAGGGTTAGGGCCAGTCGAGAAATTGGACCAACCCTCACCAAAGTTGTTGGCCAAGAGAGAATCTAGGGGATCAGCTCTTCCTATGAGGTCCATTCTACAAAACAGTGTGGTCCTGACAGAAGATTGTTCCAAGCCTGCTCTGGAACATAAGTGTGAGGAATTGAAATTACCTGTAATTAGTAATCCAAAAAAGAAGATGAGCATAATCCCAGTTCAGGCACCAACAGGTCAAACCAAGTCTGAGAGAGGCAAACATCCTGCAATTCAGCGTCAGGTGAAGTCAATGACATTGCCAGAGGAGGAAGAACCATGCGGAATTGTGGGCAATGTGAAGGTGGTTAGAATCTCAACCCGGGCGGCAAAGCGAAGCGAAGTCCCAGGTTTGGATCCAGACACATTAGCCGTGATGTTCCACCCACGTCCCCCCATGACATCAAGGCAGCCTGGAAGAACCGGAACGTACAGAACCAGCCACACGGTTGTCAGATTCCCCCAAGGCCTAGCAAACGACTCCAAAGTCCCAAACAAAGTCGCTCCAATCCTCACAACTCCCCAACATGTGAGACCCCACATTAGTCACGTCTCTTTCTTTTAAGAAGGAGCTAAAACTTGGATATAAACAGGTTTGCAAAACTCCCAATTATAAGTGAACTGAAAAGTGTCCAAAAATATCCCCAAAGTGTCAGCAAAGCAACAGAATGTGATTCTATTGTTTTGTCCGTATTCGGCAAACCAACACACACTGACCTCTCAACCATGAGTTGGAGATTTATAACCTGTGGGTGTGGTTAGACACTACACCCACAGGTTATGAATGGTCTCTCTGTGGTAATCTCTACCCCCATGTCAAGGTGTCTAACCCCCCCTCCCATGGCAAACACAGGACCTGTTTGCCATGGGAGGCCCTACCAGGGTGTGGTTAGACCCCTCATATGGGGTCCATCCATTTTCTTCCGCTTCATCCGTTGCCAGGTTGCGGGGGCAGCAGTCTAAGCAGAGACGCCCGTACTTCCCTTTCCACACACAATTAGTCCAGCTCATTGTGAGACCCTGCATTAGTCACACGTCTTTCTTTTAAGAAGGAGCTAAAACTTGCATTGCTACAGGTTTGCTAAACCCCCAATTAGAAGTGAACGTGTCAGTAATGTAACAAGGGCTTGGGATTATGGTCCAAATTCTATGACAGCTCAGGAGTCATCTGTGGGGGTTGGTTCTTGATCCTCTCTGATGGTCCAGTGTGTGTCGTTGGATCAGAATCCAATGACACACACTGACCTCACCTACTCACACTTTTTGGCACATTTAGAGTCACACAATCACACAAGGGACCATCAAACTGCAGACAAAGCACTGGGATATCTGATCTTGTTGTTTTGTTCATGTTTGTTGATCTGCACATCTGACCTCTCCTCAGAAATGTGTCAAATTATCCCCAAAGTGTCAGCAAAGCAACAGAATGTCTGATTCTATTGTTTTGTCCGTATTTGGCAAACCATTACAATAAAAAAAAAAAGTGGAGCACCTCGTTAGTTGGTATCTCACAACCTCCCCCACAAGCTAGGGCTCTTTCCCCCCAAGCTAGGTGACTTTCCACGTCCCAAGAGCCAGTTGTGTGAGTGTACTGGGTTGTAGATGTCTCCGCCTTCTGCTGCTGCCCAATCCTCTCCGTACCTCTCCACCACGGATCCCTCTGTGGTCCACTTGAGGGCCTGTCATCCTCGTTTTCGAGCCCCAATCCCAGGCCTGGCTCCAGGGTGGGGCCCCGGCTGCGCCATGTCGGGCGACATCACAATTGTTGTTGTCATGCAATCCATGGTTGGATTTGGACTGCACTTCGTCTGACTTGTCACCCAAGACCTGTTTGCCATGGGAGGCCCTACCAGGGGCATGAAGCCCCAGACAACATAGTTCCCGAGTACTCAAACTCCCCCACCACGTTAAGGTGGATGTCCAGGGGAGGACTGGTACCGAAGATACACCATAACGTGACGTCAGCCAACTGCCTTACACTGATTGGTCAACAACATTCACCTACATTCACCTGGTCTCAAGAGACATACGTACTTTGGTCTTCGTAAATTGTTGGTTTTGCACTTTTGTTTTTAATATATCTGTGATTGTATCAAGACTTTGTTTCAATCATTTGTCTGTACACATTCAGAAAAGTGGTTCAAAAGCAAAAGTTACGTTTTCCTACTATATACTGTACTTTTACCAGTGACGTGCGGATAGAAAAAAGAATAAAATGGAAACAATAATACTTGGTCTTTACATCAATTGATTTGTGCTATTGAAACCTTGAAATCGCATATTTGACAGAGCGGCGCCCTGTGAGGCGCTGCGTTGACATGGCTACACCCACATGACCCGCTTCCTTGTTTCTTTTATGTACAGTGTCCCCACAGTGTCTACAGTCTCTACAATTCCTACGGCCTCCATACAGCACAGAATATTTAAATCACAAGAGCGTTCCTCTGCTGTTATACATGATTTATGAAGTCCAGGGGCTACATTTATGGCTAAAAACTGGTTTTGTCTTGTTCAGCAATACGAGGTTCTTGCTAAATCTAACAGAATCAGAATCAAATGCCATTGTATGAAACAGGAAGTCACATTTAAGTTATAAAAGTAAACATAGACACATAAAACAAATCTTCCTAACATTTCTATTTTATACAAGAGAGTCTGTGGGGGCCGATATGGTCAAAATTAATATTACATTATTTTAACATTTTACACAGACATTTATTATTAGGCTTCAGCATTGAACTTTTTCAGGGCCTTTAGTTTGCGTGTGGTGAGTAGAGCAACAGAATAATAAATAAGTGCAGTGCAGTGACAGAAACAAGATGCTTCACTCGTCCTTAAAATGTAACCGATAAATTAATTAATGAAGCTTTTATGGAGCATAGTAGATAGAATATACAGGTATATTCTTTGGTGTTAATTTTTCTTTATCTGTCTCTCTTCAGCCAGGAACTAGGATATGTTTATTGGTTCAACTCTGTTTTCTTACCTAACAATCACAATTGTTTCTTTTCTTGGTACTCAGTCCATTTTCAACAGTGAGTCTCAGCTCTATACAATGATTGTGTTTGTTCCGTCCTTGAAGAGCATCCGGCCTTTTACCCACAATCCCTCTGCATTATTGCCTCTCAATGATCCTGTTGTATAGACACAGTGACACACAGGCACACAAACTATAAATCAGATTTCAAAGTCTCAAGCTGTGCCATTTTATCTGTCGAAATCCAGGATACAACAATTGTCTTTGGGTTAATAACTTGATTCAAAAAGCACAATTTTGTCTCTTGAGTGGTTCTTTCCTGATGCAGGAGAGTCTAAGGACAGTAATGACCCAAGACCTTCATGAACATTTCTGGACAATTGTCATCTTGCTCCATATATCTTTATGTATTTGTTATTATTGTATTTCCTGTGTTTGAACTGTTTGATTCAGATCTGAACTTTGTAAGGTCCTCCCAGACTTTTGCATATGTGTTAAGTTTGATACAATCGGGGTTGTCAGAAGTCATTCACACATTAGATTCCAAAGATTCTGTGAACAAGTCTTCCCTTCTGAGAAATTGCCTCCAAAATGTTTAGTTTTTCCACCAGATTTATTAAAAGTAGGTAATTAACTAATTTTTACTTTCACTCACTTTTAATTAGTGCTAAACTGGTGAATATAACTGAAAGGCTGTTGAAAGGCTAATGCTAAAGGCCAAATGCTAAACATTGTGTTGCTATGGTAACCTAGACCCTTGTAGTTCCGCCATGCTCCACCAGAGGCGTTTGGCTGAACCACATGGGTCTGGGATCCACGCCATACCAAACTCCTTCAGCAGATTAGAAAATAATCGACCAATCAGGATCGCCGATGTTACGTCGGGTTTGCACCGCCTTCTCAAGTGTGTCTCACACGTAGACTGTATATATTAATGGACAGAGTCACGCCTATCTCCGCCGTTCTAACTAATGGGCCAAAAAATGTGCTCTACTGGAGCAATCCAAAATGGCCGCGAGTGGTCCCGCCCACAAGAAAATTGTGAAAAAACGCATCTGCGCATCCGTCAGCCGGCGCAACTCCATTCATTTGAACGAGAGACTTCAAAAATTCACAGCAAGTAAACTAGAGTGGTCCAAAAAAATCCACCCCCTCAGCATTGACACACATGTGGAACAGAGCTTTGGGCCAAGAGCCAACTTTTGGTCCATCCTGTAAAGACGTTTTTGAGAGGTCTGCCAATGCTATATGTTAGCATTGGCTAATTCTACTTCTGGGTCCACCCCCATCGGCCCGGGGTGGTATTGCAAGCATGTCAGCGCACGTCATTTTGGCAAGCCCCGGCGATCCAAGATGGCGCCCTATTCAAATGAATGGTTGTGCTCAGTGGCGCTTTGTGACAGCATGGGGGCTGAAAGATTAGCGGAAGTTGCCTGAAACTCGCAAAGATCTATGGGAAACTCGCCTGTATTTGGGCATCGTCTGGTCCTCCCGGTTTTGCGCAGTGGATGATCTCCCATAATGCGTTGAGCCAAACACGCGTGTGTGGGTCTCACACAGGGTCTCACGCACGTGAACAGAGGGGCTCGGCCGCGCTCTGACCAATCAGAGCAGTTCATCAGAGCGGGAGTTAGAGCGAGAGCCAGACGAGCAGAGTTTGTGGCACTAAAGTGTGGATTTAAACAAAACCGAAGGATTTAAGAAGAAAAAAAGTTCAGGATGACAAGGGACACTAAAATCCCCACAAAATCCGATCTTTATTAAAGCTGTAGGTTCTCTGTCAGCTGAGGTCGAGCTGTTTTAATATGCATTGAGTTCTATGGGGAAAATTTCTGGGTAGCCCACGTGAATTTAGTCTGGTTCAGTCTGCAGTACCGCGAGAATCCCCTGAGCACGTGAGTTATTCAGCTACAAGCTAGTAATACCCTATCCAGTTAATATAATACATCCATGCATTTTTGCCACTTTTGAGCCGGGACCCTCCCCCACTGGTCTCATGCAGCAGCGAAAGCAATCCAAGATGGCGGACATAAAGTCCGCGAATCTTTTTAAAATTTTAAATACGAACGAATTAAGACACATATGTCACTTTTAATGCAATATGAGGCGGGATGTTGATGATTCTATGTTTTTATATGTGTGTTTTAAGAGTCAAATGTTCGTGTAAAGTTTGGTTTAAGTTCTAGTTGTGTTCCTGTTTACAACACTACAAAGCAGGGTTGCCAGGTTTGATGGTTTCCTGCATAATTTTTTTCCAAGAGACTTGTAGGTAATAAATAAACAGAAAGACAATAAACAGAAGCATGATAGCCCAAGTTGATTACATTACATTTTTAGCCAAAAAATCATTCTGAGTGGGTATTTTTTTTTTGGGCATTCTCGCGGATTTTGGGCTGGGAAATCTTGCTGGTCAATCGGCTGGTGCTATGAGACTTGGGTGGCATCTCTGACTGCCACCCCCCTGACCCAGAAATGGATTAAAGGGTAGAAAATGGATGGATGGATGGATGGAAATCTTGCCGGCATTTGGCAACCCATGGGAGTCATGTGCTTCGATGTGAGAGGTTGA